CATAAGTTGTTTACTAATTCACTTGAATAAGAATATAAGTGACTATGATACTAAAATACCTTATTATTTTTTGGAACAAAATAAAACCTTAATAAAATAATTACCTTATAAACATTAGTTATTCGTGCCACTTAGTACTACGGTCTAGTGGTATTCTTCTTTACTTGTAAGTGAGATATTTTAGGTTCGATTCTCGCCAAAGGCGAATTTGAACCATATTATTGTTAGCCCGTTGTGAGGCTAAGATCACCCATTTCCCTTAGTGTAAATAATATCGTTTATTAAAAAAAACATTAATTATTTGTAATTTTTTAAATTCATATGTTTATTAAAGAAACATGAAATAAAAAAAAAATCAACCCAGCAAAAGATCCTTTGCTAGTGCTACTTAGTACTACATTCTAGTGGTCTTCCTCTTCACTTGTAAGTGAGAGGTTTTAGGTTTGATTGTCGCCAAAGGTGAATTTGAACCACATTATTGTTAGTCTATTATGAGTCCAAGCTCACCCCTTCCCTGTTAATGTAGATAATATCGTTTGTTCAAAAAAAAAAAAAAACCTTTGCTAGCAGTGGATAGTGGTAGCCATCAAAAGTGAAATTATAGTAAAGACCTAAAGACATAATGGGTAAGAAAAATTGGTTCCAATTCCTCCATACTCTCGGAATTGGATAACCACCTCCAATCAAGGAGTCCAATTCATTCAAAATGAGAAATTGAATTCTTTAATCGACATTTAATTCTGCAATTTGATATCGGTGATGGGTTTGTAAACACGCCATTAGAGTTTGCGGGAAACAGAATATGGTACACGTACAAACATACTAGTGGAAATATCTCAAGGGCGCATGAACAAAGTTTACTTCAACTACTCAAACTTCAACTTAAAATATTCCTCATGCTCTAAATAATATTTACTCAAAAAGTAAAAAAGTAGGAGTAATTTTTTTATTATTATTTTCGGGAAGGAAAGAATTCGAAACTATTTCTTAAATTAGAAGAGGAGAGAGTTCAAACTATGATCCTTAAGTGAAAACCCAACACTTCACAGAATCTCACAACCTCAACAAAAAATAGCAATAGTTTGGTACATTAATCGCTCATCTAGGGGTTTGAGCGCGCCAATATGCCTGTGTGCGTGTGTGTGTGTATATATATATTGACTACTAATGCCCTGCTTTCGAGACGTCAGGTAGACTGAATACCAAACAATGAAAAAGTAGACCGAGGTATGTTCAAAGATTAGAGCAATGATAATGCACCTACGAGGCAAAAAGAGTTTATAGTAAACAAAGAGATTAACATTTGATCCATGTCTAAAAAAGAAAGCTACAACTCTTAGAACGGCATGACGATAAAGATGCGTAAGTATCCCCATTGGGAGTAACACAAATCTACATAAACTATAAAGAATGATAAAGGAATGGAGAAGGCAGCCAAACTTTGCAAGTACGTACATGCTTTGTAGTCTTGATTGTCAAGGAATGGAGAAAGTACCATTGTGATTTTTCCAATATCTTCGTGGAGAGAGTGTTGAGCTTCTATCCATACGTTTCGAGTTCGAAACTTCTCCCTCTTCTAAACTATTGTAATAGTTTCGAATCATCTTCATTCCCTTAATAACAATAACATAAAAAAAGTTCATAATCCTTGATCAATTGCAAAGCCTTGGCACTATTAATATGCGCTCCAGTTCCTCGCTTCGAGTAGTCAATTATTGTTTCATTTAGCTTTGCAGATGCTCAGCTTAGTAAAACATTGGAGAAAGGAAAGTCAATTTTATGATCTCTTCTAACATTAAAATACACACACACACACATATATATATTAAGAGCTAGCTAGTAAACACGTATTAAAAACTCTAAACAATGTTTAGGAGATTAAATTTTTTGCTTCTATTTTGTGTGCGGCTTTTTTTGTAGCTTTTATTATTGATTGATACGTGTTATGTTTATAACAACAAAGTTAATGAAAGTTCAATTTATTTATACGTGTCAATCAATAATAGACAGATAAAGACTAAATATTACACACAAAATATGTGCAGAAAATTTAAACTCTATGTATAGTCGATAAAGACACGTCACAAACAATTCCTAATCTGTTTTTAGGGTAATTCTCAGTTTACGACCTTCAAGTTTTGTGATTTTTAACATTGAGTACATTAAGTTTTTTTTGTCCCAGAGTCATACCTAAAGTGTTAATTTTGGGACAATTTCATACATCCGTTAGTCTGACTGTTAAGCCTCCCGTTAACTGATGACGTGGTGCCATGTGGACAATGATTGTGCGCCACATGTCATTAAGGGTCCACATGGAAATTAAAAATTCAAAAAAAAAAAAAAAAACTCACCCGTCTCCCCCCAACCCCCTCCCTCCCTTCTTTCCTCTGCAACCCGTACCCTATCTTCTCTCCTTTGCAACCCTCACCCATCCTCCCTCCTTATCTCCTCTGCAACCTGCACCACCCTCCCTTATCTCCTCTGATCACAATTTGCATTTGAAAAAACTAATGAAACTGAAGAATTCACAAACCAATTTAACGATTTCATAATTCAAAATCATCAATTTCAATGAAATTCGTATGAACAAAAAACTTCAAAAATATAAACTTTGATCTTGAACCGATCCCAATCAACTTTGCTCATCGAAAACACCAATGATCCCAATTTTCTCAATGTTTTAAGATAATAGAATATAGAAGCAAGGAAGAATCTGATCAAAATTTCAATCGGATCGAATTGAATCGATTTTGATTGACATACTCAATAATGGAAGGAAAATATGTACTTTTTCCACACATTTGCTTTCACGAGAATTGGGAGCGCACTGAGCATAAACAAGGAGATCTCGGGTCTGCCAAATTATGTCGGCGGGGGTTTTGGGCTTGGACTTGAACAACCCCTTCATCTTGTTGCTGTTGGCACTTTGGCTGCGACGAGGCAGTTTATCCTGCTGATGGTGGTTTTGCTGTTGATGTCGCTGCGGCGATTACGGTGGTGGCTAAATAAGCTGAGGTAGGCTATGGATTAGAGGAGATGAAGGAGGGTGGTGCGGGTTGCAGATGAGAGAATGGAGGGAGGATGGGTGGGGGTTGTAGAGGGGAGAAGGGAGGGTACAAGTTGCAGAGGGAAGAAGGAAGGGAAGGGGTTGAGGAGAGGTAGAAGATGGGTGGTTTTTTTTTTTTTTTTTTTTTTGAATTTTTAATTTTCATGTGGATCTTAATAACACGTGGCATCCAATCATTATCCATATGGACACCACGTCATCAGTTAACGAAAGACTTAACATCCAGACTAACAGATGTATGAGACTGTTCCAAAATTAACACTTTAGGTATGACTCTGGGACGAAAAAAATTTTATGTATCAAATGTTGAAAACCACGAAATTTAAAAATAGTAAACTGAGATTTACCCCTGTTTTTAACTCCTAAATCTAGGTAGTCCTATATACAAAAGAAAATCATTGGTCAAATGAGATGAGAAGACATTAATGATATCCTTGCTAAAATGAAGACATTTACATTTTATTCAACAAGTGAAAACTGTGCGCAAAAGTACCTTTGTATTAGTTGGGTCTTGAGCATTAATTTTTTTTTTTTGGTAAACCTTGAGCATTAATAATTTAATACAGACGTCGATTGTGAATTTCAAGCCAGCCAGCAAACAAGAAAGAAAAGCTGGTATGCATGATGATGTAGATTCTTTACGTCAAAGAAAGCCTTGAGAGTAAAAAGCATGCTTATGATAATTGGATTGGTACTAATTATGCTTGCACATAAACAGGAGATTATCATCGCCTTTTATTTTATTTTTATGGTCAATATTCAATAATATGCAAAAGCTAAAAACATATTTGTCAAGTCACACTCATCCTGCCCATTACATGCGTTGCACATGAATCTTTGACAAAACCAAGGGGAGGGTGGATATCTTAGAGAAGCGAGATGTTCCTCATCATTTACCAACTACAATTGTGATTTTCAAGCTTTTAACCTCTTGATTTGAACTAATTGCTCCTCTGATCTCCACCATTACTCAACTTTTTTATCTGTATATGGTATTTGGTTATTTGTATATAACTTTAACTTTATCATTATTATAAATAAAAATTTATTATAACACGTAAAAAAATACACCACGTAACTCATGTTTCTGATATTTCCAAAAAGAATTATAATCTTATGTAATAAAAATAAAAGGTTATTTTCTAATTTATCATGCAATTTACGTTGTACACTATCATGTGATAAGTGAAAAGGAAAGAGTAGATTCGATCCTAGGATAGAGAAGTATTTTTAATTTTTTACACATTGACTAGCTAGTTGTAGCCAATGTTTGAAATATCCTGAATATGCTTAATATTTCCACGGAAATATTCAAAAATTCAGGGAACGATATGGAAAGAGAGGGTGAAGTCTAAACTTGACCCCTTATCCGTGATATTTCCATAAATCAGTCATTTTTCTCAATATTTTCAGGAAATATCCAGTGTTTGTAGACAATTTGCAAAAAGTTTGCAAGAAATATCCATGAGCCTATATATTATTTATTTTCTAAATTCTTTCTTATGTTTTTATCACAAATTGTCTCTGAAATTGACTCACCCCATCAAGATGATCATTGAAATTGAAAATCAATCAATGTAGTCCTTGAAAATGGGTGTCGCAAATCAATGTGGTCATTCTGTTATAATTCCGTCAAAATTTCTGTTATGTGTTGACGTAGCACATAATTGGTCCCACAAGTCTAATTAAATGTTACTATATGAATTAAAATGTTTAAATAATAGTTTTTTTAAGTTGTTCATCTTCTTCTTCGCCTCCCACCGGAGCAACCACCCCAGTCCCCACCCCGTCGCACATGTAATTGCAACCAAACAGATGGCCCATCACATCCAGAAACACGCAGAGGCCACCTAAATTTGGTAAAATAACCTCTCTAGGTGATGAAAAGAAATCCAAGTCCAAAAAAATCTGCAGAACATATTTATAACATGGTATCATTCTAATCCACATACTTAACCACTAAATAGTTACCTCTAATTATTCTCCCTATGCCTGCTAATTCACCTTGAAGACCAATTTCTCCTTCTCTTCTCCTCATTCACAAAATCCAGATTTCTTTTCAAATTCAATTTGAAATTTGCAATTGAATTCTCAAAAAACATGGATGAAACTCCCAATCCAACAAGACTGCCACCGCCATCCAAAAAGCCGCCCATTCTGCTATATGTGAAGGCGCTGTCGAGCTTGCTTGGAGGCAATGGAGGCTGTGTGTCTTCAACCCATCAGCGTCATCAAGACCCGGTTCCAGTTCGACCAGAGTAGCACCTACAAGGGAATTGTCCACTGCGGTTTCATGTGCGACAAGGTGGGATGGGTTGTTGAGGTTGCTCGAGTGGGAGGGGAAAAAGAAGATGAACATTTCATCTTCTTCTTCTTCTTCTTCTTTCTTCTTTTTTTTAAGTTTCTAATTATATAAAACTAAAAATTGTTTTTTATTCTTTAAACATTTTTAATCCACATGGTAATAATTAATTAGACTTGTGGGACCTATTTATATGTCACGTCAGCACATAACATAAATATTGACGGAATTCTAACAGAATGACCACATTAATTTGTGAGGGACTACATGGATTGATTTTCAATTTCATGAACTATCTTGATGGAGTAGGTCAATTCTAGGGACCATTTGTGATAAAAACCTTCTTTCTTTATGGTATTAGTTTACTTCAACAAAATTTATACTGCTTTCATGACAAAAATTTCAATCAAGTTATGTATAATTTATTCTTTCTAGTGAAATACTTTATCTTATTACTTGCCATTAGAAGGAAGTTTTTCTTCTCGCATATTACATACTTATTGTTTACACAGTATCTAATCATTCATTCTTGATTCATACGTGTGTTGTGACTTCATATGACATTCCCTAAAAAATAATTTTAAATTTTCATGTGTTTAAGCAAATTTTCATCATTTACATCGAAGACAATCAATATCAATATACGATATATTCATCGTTATTTCCATCGATACCAATATTTTAAACACTAGTTGTAGCCTCTATCATTATTCTTTTTCTTTTGTAGAACAATGTGACAATTGAAATTTGTAATGCAACATAGAGAAGTTTCTAAGAAAACACTTCATATTATTCATGCTGGCCCTACTCGATCCTTAAAGTGAGGCTCTTTAATTATAGACCGTCTGTCATCTTACAGACATTAATTCCGTCCCAAACATTAACATTGTGGAAAAAAAAAAAAAAGATGATAGAAAATCCATTGAAATCCATCTTTTAAAAGAATGTCATTAGCATTTTTTTTTGTCAGAATCTCCATAGCATTCTCAATGATTAACTTTTCGTTTTGGATTTTTTCTGGGAGTATTAATTCCGTCCCAAACATTAACATTGTGGAAAAAAAAAAAAAGATGATAGAAAATCCATTGAAATCCATCTTTTAAAAGAATGTCATTAGCATTTTTTTTTGTCAGAATCTCCATAGCATTCTCAATGATTAACTTTTCGTTTTGGATTTTTTCTGGGAGTAATACTTGGCTACTCAAAGATGAGTAGGAGCTTTTACTCAAAAAATTTCAAAATTGTTCGTTGTCAATTTATAGAATTTCATGTTTATAATCAGAACCGTTCATATTATAAATCATCCTATAAATATCATTGATGAGTCCATATTATACCATATATTTTACCCTATTCTTAGTTATAGTTTATTGGTTATTTTAGTAGAATTTTGATATTTTATTATGTAATTTCAATGCAGGACATTCAACTTCCTCTGGAGTAAAAAGTGATCAAACGGATGAATTTTAGAGTGATTCCAATTGGAAGATGTTTGTGAGTCTTTCAAGATGATTGTATCAAAGTTTCAAAATTTTCTACTTAGCCGTTTGACCGTAGCAATGAAATAAAGGCCCAGCGAGCAGTTTTTCTAGATTGACGTTTTTGGACATTTTGGGTATTTTGGAGGTCAAGATGGCATATTTTGAGGAACATTCCTTACTAGGATTTATAGGGGACGACTTAAGCTTTCAAAAGAGACCTTTAGGGACCAAATCATACTAAAATAACCAATAAACTATAACTAAGAATCGGGTAAAAAGTTATCAAACGGATGAATTTTAGAGTGATTCCAATTGGAAGATGTTTGTGAGTCTTTCAAGATGATTGTATCAAAGTTTCAAATTTTTCTACTTAGTCGTTTGACCGTAGCAATGAAATAAAGGCCCAGCGTGCAGTTTTTCCAGATTGACGTTTTTGGACATTTTGGGTATTTTAGAGGTCAATGGCATATTTTGAGGAACATTCCTTACTAGGATTTATAGGGGACGACTTAAGCTTTCAAAAGAGACCTTTAGGGACCAAATCATAATTGATTTGGTCAGTCAAAAGTCTGCTTTTCTGGGAAATCTGAATTTTAGTTCAAAAAGGAAACCTTTTATTTTCTGTTTTATTATTTTATTATGTTTCCTAGTTTTATTCTAAGACTTTTTAGTGTGTATTAGGGCTTTTACAAACTAATTTTCTTTAAATTGTTCTCTAGTTAATTTCTTTAATTGTTTTTAATTTAAATTCATTTTTATTATTTTAAATCTAAAAAATCAATATTTACCAAACTTTGTTTCAAATAATTAAATAAGAGTTAGTTTTATATACAAATTATTCATTCAATCCATGTGGAAAACGACCTTACTTGAACCGTTTAGCTACAATTACCTTATACTCTTGCAAGTATTTTTAAGTGTTTTTATCCCTACTTTTGCAGGTGGTAAAAATCCTATCAATCACCTCTGCAAAAAATAAATTAAAACTAAGGTTGTTTAGTCATCAAACTGCTTAAAAACAAATGAACAGAATTGGTAAAAGCATTACTAACCGTCTATGTATTTGCTACAATAGATTGACTAAACAACCTTAGTTTTAATTTATTTTTTTGCAGATATGATCTTTATAGTGTGATTCATAGTATGAACCAGTCTGGTTATAAGCACAATACTCTGTGATTAAAACACTAAGAGTTTTGAGTAGGAGTTCCTACTTATTTTTTAGTAGCCAAATATTGTTCTTTTTCTGGTTTCTTTGAGGTTAGATTCTGACCTCTTAAATAGTTACTTAAAAAAGAATATATACCACGTTGGGGGAGGAACTATGAACGTGATATTTGCATGCCAAACTGCAATCAACTGTCTTATGTTTTATATACAAAAATAAATAAGCATGATGCAATAATTATATGCTTTCTCTGTTAATTTACAATCTCCCACAGCAGGAGAAATTAAATATTATTATATGGAAGAGGCAGAATTAATCATCACGAAAATTATGTCTTGGATAGCCTGAGAGAACATATTAGTGAAAAACATTAAATCCCTGAAAAACAATACTACTGTATGGTTAACAAATTAATCATTGACTAAATTGAAACAAAATATCGTTTATGTACTGAATTAGGAGATCAACTTCTATAGAATGAATACTCCACCACCAGGGTGTTCCATTCCATGAAAATATATCCTCTTGAATTATTAGAACACAAGTGAAAATTTAGGCACTAAAAATATCGAAATCCTAACAAAACAAGAGAAAATGAGATGACGTACTAATTAAATATGGTCAGTCAGGGCCACAGTTCCATTTGCACCTATAAGATACATCTGATCCTACCTTTCCAAATCGTGCTAAAGCCTTGAAATCTCTGCAAGGAAATGCTGATAAGATACGAAAGCCTTGTTCGGCTCACATGAAAGATCAAATGTCACGCACGCACAGTTTATTGTGTAATCACTGTCTCTTTCTGTCTCTCTTACTTTCATCGGTCTTTTTATTACTTTTGTTGAGGCATCAAATTTTGTACGTATTCCAGTTAGCCAGATACGATTCTTGTGGTGCAATCTTGTTGTGTTCGAGATCGTATGAATTGTATCATTCATATTTTCAGCAGGGACCGTCTTCTCCCCTCAACGCACGGACCAGTCTTCGTCAGCTTTTCCAATGTGGGATTGTGGTGCCCCTTCTCATAAATTCTCACTTTGAAACAGGATTATATGCTTACAATTCGCGGGGTCCTTGTGTTTTTAATAAATCTCTGCTTAGATAAATAGTTAAAGTCATAGCCTCACCGTTCCGTCGTTTTGATCGATAATTCTTGTCAAATGTGTGACCTAAATTTATAGTTTGACGACACTAATATGTTAACAATACGTTTTGACGTAGATCAGATGACCCAAATAAGTTGAAGATTAAATTGAATAGCACATATTTGAAAGATCCAAAGTTTTGCCTAATTGGTTTCGGTGTCCAATTTAGGCTTAACTATGTCAAAGAAAATATATGGCGTCACGAATACAACTCATTGATTTTTTGTGAAGCTTGTGATATATGAGATTTTAGGCCATATTTTATAATTGTTATGTTGTTAACTTGTATCAGCCTTTTAAGATCTTAAGACGTGTTTGGTTTTTCTTTTGTTGTTATTTTTCTAATTTGCTCCCGATTTGTAATCTTAGAAAGTCTAGGGTTTGTTTCTCTCATATTATTCATTCAATAAAAAGTTTTTTTCGTAATCTTTGTGGATTCGAATTTGCTTTTACTTAAAGATCATCGTTTTATGCAATCTCTTTATCGAATTGTGGTCCATTACAATTGGTAATTAATGAATCTGTTGGTGACTTTTGTGGAGAAAATCACACAAAAAAATCATTGGTTTGGTTTTATTAGGGTTTAGACTTTCGAGTAAGAATCTCAGGAGGGAGTGAATTTGTGATCTAAGCTCAACTGCAGTCGTCTTCTACATGCAAACTGTAATAGGGCCCCAAGTCTTATTCCACGAGGGTCCCATTTACAAAGAAAGTAGTGAAGTATGTAGAGGAATCCGAGCCTATTGGGGCCCCATATTGTCGGTTGGCCACCCCGTTGGGCAGCATCAAGAGGACCATACCATTACGGCATTAGAGGTGGGACCCGGCTACCCGGCTTCTCTAGCCTCCCACTTTATGTACGCTTTTATCTTCTTATATTTTGTGCGGTCACAGTAAAATCACGTCAATATTTTATATTGATTTTTTATAAAGATAATAAGATAAAAAACAATAATAATATAAAATATTGACGTAAATTAACCGTAACCATATAAATAAAAGAGGATTTATGAGAAGTGAAATGGCAGAAAAGTCAGGTCCTTTGAGGTGAACCCTCTTTCTCACGTAGGGTGGACATCAACTTATGCTCGCAATGACCATTACCAGTATTCAACACCACTCATTTCTCACCTTACCCTCCACTTACCGGTAAAATATCAAACTTGCCAATTGACCTAAATTTGAAGATATTTTTAGTTGTAATGTTATTTATTTTACTTAAATTATAATATAAAAATATATTTATAGATTAATATATTTTAACCGTAAGACATATAAATTTCAACATTCACTTATATTATAACACTTGAAATGATACATTATCTAACAAGTGTTTCCAACACACGTAAAATTTCTCCCATATTTCTCATTTGCCATTTAATTTGCCTCAAAATATCAAACGTTTCATTGTTCAAGCTATTACAAAGCACATTGATCGAAACTTAACGTAAAATGAGTCTTGTTCTCTCCCTTATCATGCTTGAATATGGTGCAACACTTAAGTAGACAAACCCTTCGACATTTCTCTTTTGATAAATCGACCTCTCTAACACGTTTCACGATAATTTGTTTGCATGTAACCAACCATTTATGATCGGGGAAGATGCATATGCTCCTCACAGCCGCACGAAGTGCAAAGGTTAAATCCTTAAACCGATTCTTGTCCTTGGACGATGCTAGCTTTATAGGTTAAGTGAGTTTGGAGTTGGGCGAGACCGTGTTAGGAATATAATTATATCAGTGCATTTTTCGCGAGTTCAGGTGGTAATCGTACATGGGAGTCCTTCTCAAGGTCCGTCCCCGCCCAAACTTTCTTAAGGCAAAAGGAAAAAAGCTGAGAAAACTTGTGGATGAACAATACCAATGTTACTTTCTATGAAATTAGTTCAACTATCACTTGATCATAACTCGTATGGCCCTACATTGCTGTTGTGTATATGAACAGAAAAAGAAAAAAATATCTCAAATCATTAATAATCCGATGTGAAATATTGACCTTCAACTGCCAAATTTATGCAATTTTCGCCTTTCATTGATGGAAGTTTAGGACCAAAAACATTCATTTGTCTATATGTAACATCATGAATAATACTTTGCATTCCTTCATTCGTGGTTATTCCTCTCTTGCAAATAAAGTATCTTAACCGTACAAATTACATAATTGAAATCGTTCAATTTTTTAATCTTCATTTGAAAATTACCCCACAAAAATTTGTTTCAATTTGAGATCATTTAGTCATTCAAATGTATAGAATAAATCTATTGTGTAAGTACTAAATAATATATTCATGATGAATCGTCCATTTATTTGATGTATTTGGATGATTAAGTGACCTCAAATTTGAATGGTTTTTTGTAAGATTGATCTTCAAATGAAAATTAAGAAATTGAACAATTGTTGACCTTCATTCTGTCAAAAAATAATATTCTCCTTTGGCCTTGTTTTTACCTGCAAGACAAGGAGAAAGAGAGCAATCAGTCAGCACTTGGAATCAAGCTTCCAGCCAGGAACTGACTGCCTGGAACCCCTTACCTGATTACTTACCTGGCATTGCTCTCGAGTACTCATCTTCAACATCTTATGTTTCCAGGGAAGATTCCGCATCTGCTTGAGGAACAGATAGGGCAAGTGCGAAGGATACAAGGAAGCATGTGGAGACAAGCGTAACAGCACACGTGCCGATACATCCATTACTCTGTCAAAAGCAAAAGTATCCCATATCAGCAGGGTGGAACGTACTCTAGATTGATGAACTTGTTTTGACCCTCAAATTCTTCAGTCGGCCCTATACTCTGGAGGAAACCAAAAAACCCTCCAGCTCAGTTCAAGAATAAGCCTGTGGAAAGTTACTTCTTCAAAAGCAAAAGTATCTCATATCATCTCTTCTCATTTTCTTCTCTTTATCCTTCATCGCTGCTGCAAGATGGGGAGAAGGTGAACAATCAGTCGGAAGCTCTGATTGCTTACCTTGTCTGTCACTCTTTCAGCAGACCCCCTAGCTCGGCGACTTGGGGGACTCCTACTACATGGTTTGTATCGCGCTTGACCAAGCTTGAAACTACAAGTAAGCTTCAAGTGAAATTGATACATTACCTTGTGCATCTCCACCAGTTAAAGATACCACCCCTGGATGGAGGAAGAGTACTTCCAGAGAAGATGCCACATCTACCTATGAGACAGATAAGGCAAGTCAAGACGACACCACACTCCGATACTTAGAAGTTTCGTGATTACAAGATCATTCTCCCACAATATTTCCTAATGTCATTTGTACTAAATCATTCACTTGTACTCACTAAAGGAGAGCTTGAACCTATGTACTTGTGTAAACCCTTCACAATTAATGAGAACTCTTCTATTCCGTGGACGTAGCCAATCTGGGTGAACCACGTATATCTTGTGTTTGCTTTCCTATCTCTATCCATTTATATACTTATCCTCACTAATGACCGGAGCAATCTAGCGAAGATCACAAAAAGCGACCGTTTTTGCTACCTAGGATCTATCTTGCAAGAGAACGAAGAATTAGATGGAGATCTCAACCATAGAATACGAGCTGGATGGATGAAGTGTAAGAGTGCATCCGGCGTGTTGTGTGACCGTCGTAGGCCACTAAAACTCAAGGGAAAATTTTATAGAACGGCAATAAGGCCAGCGATGTTGTATGGCACAGAATGTTGGGCGGTGAAGCATCAACACGTACACAAAATGGGTGTAGCGGAGATGAGGATGCTTGTGGGATGTGTGGGCACACGAGAAAGGATAAGATTGGGAATGAGGATATCCGAGGTAAAGTAGGAGTAGCCGAAATTGTAGGAAAGATGAGAGAAAATCGGCTCCGGTGATTTGGACATGTGCAAAGAAGGCCGACTGACGCTCCGGTTCGAAGATGTGACTACGGGACAGAGGTTCAGGGCCGAAGGGGTAGAGGAAGACCTAGGAAAACTTTGGAAGAGACTCTAAGAAAAGACTTAGAGTACTTGGATCTAACGGAGGACATGACACAAAACCGAGCGCAATGGCGTTCTAGGATTCATATAGCCGACCCCACTTAGTGGGAAAAGGCTTTGTTGTTGTTGTTGTTGTTGTAGAGGAATATGTGCACCCTACATTATAGTGGATGCAAGTATTATCCTAACACCATATATATTCATAATTCATGCATGTTTCTTCATGTCACACACCAGTAATATTCAAAGCTTCACATTCATGGGCCATATGCTATAAATGCAGAAAAAGGGTAGTTTAGATGATGCAGCAAAAAACAAGGGTAGTTAAGAGAATAGGCATTTTATCTGATACGGTGTGGTGGACTATGCAGGCTGTAGGTGGAGAAGATAATGGTTAAAAGGCTCAAAGCCTTGATTGAAAAAAGCCTATCTTGAAAGCGATACCACGTATCCAATTCTTGCGTTTAGCATCCCTCTTTATTATACTGGGAAAGCTTTAGAGATAATACTTGAATTTTGACCAATTAGTACTATGGTTTAATAGTTTTTTTTGTACTTGAGGTTTTAGATTCGATTCCTAGCAAATACAAATTTGAACTACATTATTATTAGTCAATTATGAGGTTAAGCTCCCTCCTTGTAGTATAGATAATATCGTTTGTTAAAAAAAATAAAAAAATAACCTGCATTTTGGACTTTGTTAAATTATAAAAAGAGGGGTTACTATCACCTCTGTAAGTCCTCAAAGAAATAGCACCGTTGGCAATTGCATCTAGCCTTTACATAAATGCAAAATTAGGGCCAGATATGAAGAAAACTTTGTTTCTAACAATTTAACTGTGAATGATAGTGAGTAAAGATGTCAATCGGACAGCCAAAACAACTGGGAAGATTTCAACAAGCTCCTCCAATTGCAAGATAGAAATAAATTTAGAGAAATTTAGAGATAGGGATTTGGGAGATAAGGTTTTCAGCCACCTTAAACGTTCATTTGTATCAATGTCATACAAACCATCAATCTTGTCATATATTTTTTGGTTCATTTCTTCATGTACAATTCACATGAATTAACTCTAAGAAGCATATATGCCACCAACATGTGATATTTAATAAGCAGAGTGGAATAAAGCCTTTAATTCATGGGGGCATTGCCAAAAAATATTTCCTATTGTATCCTTGTTTTTTTATTTCATAAACACATCTTTCTTTAGCTTTTCAATTATTTCAAATCCCTCTCTTGTATTCCCTTTTAGAAATTAATAATTGCGAAGCAAGGAGACATGCGATATTGCGTATAAAATAGGCGTTTGACAAAAATAATCAAAAGAAGTGATGAAGAAGAGAAATTTTTTAATGTGTCAAAAACATAACTCGTATTCCTAACATATTGAAAAATCTTTGGTAAGGAGGAGGGGTCTTACTGCTCACAATTAAAAAATGGTGTGGCAATCATGAGAGATAAGGGCACAAGTGGGCTCTAGACAAGCACGTGTGACTGACCATTTTGTATTGCACACTGTCATGGCCATCCCATATTTTCCTTCCAAGCTACCAAAACCCCTACATTTTCCAGAAAAGTTTTCTTACTCACGAGTGTTTGGCAGCAGTTTCTTTTTTTCTGTAAGCATAATCTTGATTTGTCTACTTGTTTAGAGCAGCTTTGGTTTAGTTTTTTGTTAAAAAATAATTAAATAATTTGATTGACCTGTTGGGGATTTGCTCTGAGTGTGTGATTTGGTTGGGATTGCAGAGTGATTTGGGTTTCTTTGTTTGCATGTCCAGGTCACATGGGGTATAGAACGACTGATAGGACCTGGACTTTGCTGTTGTTCCATTTGATCCTCCTTTGAGTCTGAGTTTTGTCATTTTTGAAAACTCATTTACTATCACACCCACAAAACAAGAGCTCTTGGTTTTCCTCTGTTCTTGGATATATATCAGATCTCATCCAACAAAAGTCCTTCATTTTCTTTTCCTTTTCTGTTATTGAAAATTTCAGTTTTTTTTTTTTTTTTATAAGGCTGAGCTCTCTTTGGACTAATCTCTAATTAACTAGGGAAGGGGGAATTTTAACATATCTGTATGGTTTCAAATACGTTAAGGAGCTTATGATGTCATAAGAAGAAAACAGAGGAATCAGCCATGAAGTTTATGAAACTTGGATCCCGGCAGGATACTTTCTACACTACTGAGGCTGTAAGGTAAGATTTGTTATGAATTATCTGGTTAAATATGAAAAAAAAAATGTTCAATTGATCAAAGGTACTGAAAGGTTTTTTTTTTTTTTTGGTTCAATTCAGGTCAGTTTCCTCTGAAGTTTCAAGCGATCTCATAATTCAAGTGAAAGGAAGCAGATATTTGCTTCACAAGGTTCGCACTTATTACTGTTCACAAAAATAATTTCTGGGATTTCTTAAAGTTCATGTTTTGATGTAATTTGAATCCAATATCACACATGGGGTTTCTCTAAATTGTTCATTGTCCCCCGTGTCACACAGTTTCCTCTGTTATCCAAGTGTCTGCGGCTGCAGAGGCTTTGCTCTGAGTACCAAGAATCTTCAAACCACCACATAATCCATCTCCACGACTTCCCCTGTGGCGTCGAGGCTTTCGAGCTCTGCGCAAAGTTCTGCTACGGCATCACAATCACTCTCAGCGCCTACAACATTGTCGCTTCTCGCTGTGCCGCCGAGTACCTGCAGATGACCGAGGATGTCGAGAAGGGAAACCTTATATACAAACTCGAGGTCTTCTTCAACTCCTGCATCCTCCACGGTTGGAGGGATTCAATTGCCACGCTTCAGAGCACAAAGGCATTTCCTCTGTGGTCGGAGGAGCTCGGAATCACATCCAGGTGCATTGAAGCAATTGCCACAAAAGTCCTCACAAACCCTTCCAAAGTTAGCCTGTCACACAGCTACTCCAGGAGGGGCAGAGACGACATTGTGTCTTGCAATGGCGCCGAGAGCCTCCGGCATAACAGCAGGCCAGAAGGCAGGGGATGGTGGGCTGAGGACATTGCAGAATTGGGGATTGACTTGTACTGGAGAACTATGATTGCAATAAAATCTGGTGGGAAAATTCCCTCTAGTCTCATTGGAGATGCATTGAAAATTTATGCTGCTCGATGGTTGCCTAAAATATCGAAAAACGACAGTGATCATCGACAAGCAGCGTTGGATTCCGATTCAGACTCTGCCAATGATTTAACCTCAAAGCATAGGTTGATCTTGGAGTCCATTGTAAGTTTAGTTCCGGTTGAAAAATGTGCTGCTTCCACTAGCTTTCTGCTTAAACTTTTAAAGGCAGCCAACATTCTCAATGCTTCTTCTTCTTCAAAAATGGAGTTGGCCAGAAGGGTAGGGCTTCAATTGGATGATGCAACAGTCAGTGACTTGCTAATCCCCTCTGAGTCATACGAAAGCACCACGCGATATGATGTGGACATAGTCATGACAATTTTGGAGCAGTTCTTGCTGCAGGGGCAGAGTCCCCCAACTAGTCCTCCGAGGTCCAAGCTTGGCTTTGAAAGGAGGAGGAGGTCTCGCTCTGCGGAGAACATTGATTTTGAGTTTCAGGAAAGCCGGAGATCTTCCTCGGCGTCACATAGCTCGAAGCTGAAGGTGGCAAAGATTATGGATGTATATCTTAAGGAGATTGCCAGGGATGTCAATTTGTCCCTCTCAAAGTTCATTGCAATTGCTGAAGCAATACCAGAGTTTGCAAGGCTTGACCATGACGATCTCTACAGAGCAATTGACATTTACCTCAAGGTAACAACAATATACTAGTTCTCAAACTACATTCATGTTTTACCGTATTATAAGTTATCCGCGCAGGATGTCCATAAAGAATGGAAGCGCATTGATATTGTCAAAAACGAAGAGATAACTTGTCCATACATTTTTGGCAACAATAACATTGACATATTATCCATAACATATTTGATAATACATTTTTTCCATTGGTAGACTACTATTGTGTGAGATTTCTAGGTATATTTCAGTGTCACGTTTTCGAATGTGGGACACCATCAGTAGGTAACCAACTTTCTTGACCTTAAAATCTTGTCATCTTCACAACTTGTTGTCAGTTAGGATTAGGTCCACAAGAAATTAAGAAGGGGTGAGTCCACATTTTCAATAGCATAATGATCATAATTTTTTTCATTAAATTTTGTTCCATGCTCTGATTTGGACTTTATTGATGTTACTTATAGAAGTTTGCTAATTAAAGTTGTTATTGCCTTCAAATCAGGCACATCCAGACCTAAACAAAAGTGAAAGGAAGAGGCTTTGCAGAATTCTAGACTGCAAAAAGCTCTCGATGGAGGCCTGCATGCATGCTGCACAAAATGAGCTACTCCCACTAAGAGTGGTGGTCCAAGTTCTCTTCTTTGAGCAAGCCCGAGCCGCCATGGCCAGCGGCAAAGTGACCGAGCTGCCTAGCAACATTAGGGAACTGCTAGCGTCACATAACATTGATCCGTCGAGGCCTCCGCCCTCGCTAAGCAACGCTAGCATTGTTCCGGCAGAGGACCAATGGAGCGCTTCAGGCCTGAAATCACCAAAGTCGAGGATGTCAACTTTACAAATGAAGCTGGCGGAAGATGATGATTTGGACGAAAATAATATGCACCCGGATGGAATTGGGAGAAACTCAAAGATGAAATCTCTTTGCTCACTTCCTACTAGACCCAAAAGAATGTTGAGTAAGTTGTGGTCCATCAACAGAAGTAGCTGTGAAAAGAACTGAGTGATTTTTGTTTAATTTGATCCACCCGGCATATCATCAAAGTGACATTCTTGACATAAGTAAGTGACATTAATATTTTTCAGTATAAGTAAGTTTTTCTTCAAGCTCGAATGTGGTAAGATTCCAGAGAGCAGCATACAATAGTATGTTTTTTTCCCTCATTTCATGTAAACTTACTAGGAACAAAATTAAGAAGGATAAATAATTAATTAATGTTCATGTAATCTTTTGTAATAAGAAAGAAGATTTTGAGGGCATGATCAAGTGGCTGCAGCAAATCTCAATCAGTTGTACTAGATCAAACAATCTGGGGGACCAGTTTTGTTGTCATTGTCCATGAATCTGCAACACCTGTCTTTGTCTCCTTGCTGCACCTCCATTGGATCCCCACCTTCTAATCAGATTTTATTCCTGTGCTGTGAGAGGGAATTCATGTACCTGACTAAGTGCACTGCTGTAGTATTGGAATTTATGCAGATTAAATTCCTCTTATTAATAGAAATTTTTTTTTAGTAAATCAATATTTTTACATTAGAAGATGAAAAGTTTGACTAAGTCACACAATGAGCAACCTAATTTAGTATCGTATTCGCCATCCAAGAGATTCTAATATAAGACCTCTCCATTTCAAGTGAAGAAGAATACTAAGTGGCAGAAAATTATATTCTCAAAATAAAGAAAAATAATTATGTACTTTTTTAATTGTTGGTTTAGGGAAATCTTTTAGAAAGTTGAGACAAGATGCTGTAAACAAAGCACATTGAAAGGATTTAAAGCTAAGAAGTCAAAAAACATACAAGAAGAGAGACAAATTATTTACTTTGGAACAAAATCTAAATTTCAACAATCATACCTCATCATCTAGCCGACACATTCACCTCATGTTTTCTGCTTTTTACAAATTTTGTCAAATTGAAGATGACATCAAACTACCTGGTACTGTGTTCCATGGAACTAATCATAATGTGAAAGCCTATTTGGCACCTAGTAAAAGGCTACTCCTGTTTTAATTTGGGAGTAGGATTTTCTCTCCTTATATTCTTATTTTCTTCCCTCCCCTCTTTTCACACTTTGTTTTTTATCTTATTGTCTGTATAAAAAAATTAATATAAAATGTTGGCGTGATTTAACCGTAACCATTCAAGTAGGAGGGGATGGAATGAGAGAGAGATTATAAAGGAAGAGAATCCTCCTCCTTGAATATGAGCATCCGGCCATATTAGAATGTAAGTATCTAATCCAAAATTACTTGATTATGAACCGAAGAAGGTCAAGATTTTTAAGCAGTTATGGTAGTCTTTCATCCCTTGGTGCCAGATGTTAATGTAAGCTCAGCGCAATTGAGCTTAGTTGACATTGTAAATTAGAGTTTTTGGGAATTACGACTTCGTTTGTATATTCCGTTGCGTGTAATCCTATTTGTATTCTTCAGTATAGAGTAGACAAATACAATTTAGAATAATAAATTTCAACTCCTTGAAATTATTATCTCAGTTCCAACTTTATGAAGGATATATTCTTTCAAAGAGCTTTGCATTCTTCTTTCTATTGTGTTCATGGACGTCCTACTAAGGATCAAAAAAATCATTGAAGTGTTGTGGCACCCTCCCGATCTCAATTTTGGATCAAAGTAAATACTTATGATATTGCAAGAGGTTTATCTGGTTAATTTGGCTGCATTTAGTGGTATCTTTCGGGATTTTACAGGACATTCTTTTGGTTGTTTTGCGGGTTGGATAGGTTTGGCTTCTCCTTTGGACACCAAACTACACATTGTTATTCATGTTGTATCTTAGCTTGGGATAGAGGTTGGCATTCATTATGGATTGAGTGTGACTCATCAATGGTTGTTCACCTTCTTTCTTCATCTTTGCCCTTTGACATTGATCCCTTGGAGGCTTTTGGTTAGGTGAGATAGTTGTCGAGTTTTATTATCCTCCATGCAAGTTCTGATTTCTCATATTGTTTGGCCAATTGTGGTGTTGATCATCTCAGTGTTTATTGGTGGGATTCATGCCCTTCTTATGCTGCAATTGCTTATTCTCATAACCTTTCTCAGCTTCCTTATTATAGGTTTTGCTAAAAGTGATTTTGACCTGTTTTTATGAATTTTTTAATAGTTAGGGTTTGGATTCATGTCTCACTTGACATATTGTATTTATTTTATTTTATTAATAAATTCACCTCATAGTCACTGATACCATGTAGAATTTTTCAGGTCGACGGGCCAAGGGCACACTCCAACAAACCCTAAACACTCCCCTTGCCCAATCCCTCTGATACCATGTAGAATTTTTCAGGTTAACGGGCCAAAGGCCCACTCCAACAACACCGATATTGTCCCCACTTTACCACCTGCCCAATTCGTCAGGTGTGAGGTTTTATCACAAAAGGCCTCGATGTTAGTTAGAGTGGGGTAATTCTATTTAAGTGGCTCTTTCTCCTTCCCTCTGTCCGATTGTGGGACAAATGTGTTGCAACACTCCCCCGCATGTGAGACCCCATTTTATGGGTCACATGTGAAGATCCATACCTCAACAACCACGTGGAGCCAAGTCTGGGCTCACCCATCGCACGGGGTCAAAGGGGACCCACCCAATCACTTGGCATCTTTGGCCTATGTAGAGCCATATCGAGACTCACCCAACACGCAGGGCCAAATGGGGACCTACCCAATCACGTGGCAATACGAGCCCGTCCCCTGGTTTTGATACCATGTAGAATTTTTCAGGTCAACAAGTCGAGGGCCCACTCCAACACCGATACTGTCCCCATTTTACCACCTGCCCAATCCGTCAAATGTGAGGTTTTAATCCAAAAGACCTTGATTTTAGTTAGAGTGGGGTAATTCTATTTAAATGACTCTTTCTCCTTCCCTCTGTCTGATGTGGGACAAATGGTTGCGACAGATTTTGACCTGGTTTTTTATGAAATTTTTAATAGTCAGGGTTTGGATTCATGTCTCACTTGACATATTGTATTTATTTTATTTTATTAATAAATTCACCTCATAGTCGCTTCTCATGAAAGCGATGCTGGAGTGAAATTGACTTTACGGTTTATAAAAGAAGAAAAACCTCATATCTTGGCAATAATCTCAATAATTCTCCCACGACAGATATTGGTGAGTATCTGTAGAAGCTGGTTCAACCAAAGACAAATGTTACCTTGCTTGCTTTTGGATTTTACCTACTTGCATTAATTTTAACCATCTTTGGCTATTTAGTTGAGACTTCCAATCTGCAAGAATAAGTTGGGGTCACTTTCCTTCTCCTGTTGATATGTAAAGTTCCATGGTTGCCATCCAAAATGATTAGAGCAATAGGAATGCCATTGCTACTGTTGCAATGCTAGGAATATACTGAGTCAGATGCCAATGTATCATTGAGATCGAATTCTGCATGCAGAAACAAACATCTTGCTGTTTGGGGAAATTAGTACGGACTTCAGAGATGGATGGAATTGATCTCGCATGTGTAACCTTAGAGTTGGTGCTTCATAACGTGGTGTTATTTGGCTGGATACAAGCCAAAAGAATTATGTGCGAGATGTGCAGGATCGCATGTCGAGGTAGTACAATAATAATCTACAGTTACAGAATATCCCGGTATGGTTTGGCTTTAGTAGAGGACACTTGCTATAACCGTGACACGACACATAATTGTGGCGGTGATCGTTGTCCTTTCGATATGGTTACCGTCGTCATGGTCATTATAGTTTTCCTCCACATTTTCCAGAATTGTGTGGAAGCAATCGTCAAATTGTATAGAAAAACATTGACACACAGCTTCAAGTATTGCAATAAGACACAAACCATAAAAAAACCAGCCAGATTTCGTGCAATATATAGAAATTCTACATAAATAATACTACAAATGTGCTAGTTTTGCAGCGATTATGAAACCCTTGATAAAATGCCAGCTTTTTAATTCTCAATACAAAATAAGGATGCTTACAAAGTACACAGAAAATACAAAAAATCCAAACTTTAGCAAAGAGGCATGCCATATATTAACGCTCTTATTTTTCTTTAGATCATTACTGGCGTTACAAGCTTAGGATCATGGTGATGAGCAGAGGTAGGTTGCATTAGAAGCCAGGCTTAGGCGCTGGGCCTCGGGGCGAAGCATAGTTCATGCTTTTCGTCCGCTGGAGGTTCGGGGAACGGTGAAGCCTACAACGGAACGAACCTTCATGCGTGGTCGGGGAGCAAAGGCAATTGTTCTTGGTCATGCTCTGCTGTCTCATAAGCACGGCGCACTCGACTTGTTCAGCCTGATTATCCGATGGAATCTCCACCTTCATCACGTCCTTCTTGCTTACTTGTTCGTGACTTTCCATTAGACTCGATCAGCACACCTTGAATTATATGGGAAAAAGAAGGACGCAAAGCGAACAAAGAAAATAAAAACAAGAAGAAGAAGAAGAAAGAATTAGTAAATCGTGCACCTAATAAAAACTTGGTGATCCGGAAAACTAGTGAGTGGTGTGACTGGATAGAAATGGAACCAATAATTAAAATTTTGGTACGAAAATATTGTTGGAGAAATTTTTGCTTGAAAGATCTATATCTGCTACTACTACTAGATTGAATTAGATGGATGTAAAGCAAGGAGGGACAAGAAAAAGATAAGTAAAGGTGATGGGTATCTACACTTTGATTTAAAAACCTTGATGCGAGGCCATGCAATCTCTCTCTCTCTCTCTCTCTCCCCCCACGGGTGTGACAATATAATCCATTAACGTCCCACCTACATCACTATCACCTTTTGATAATGCACAACCACTTGTCAAAACCCATCATCATTGTCATCCATAAGAGAGAGAGAGCATTAGCTAATTTTTCTATTTCATTTGTACATTTGTTTTTATTTCTTACATTTTTTTTTTTAACTTGGGGTCGTCAGATCGAATAATGAAAGAAGATTAATAACTAAAAATTAACAAGAGTATGTAAAAGATAAAAATAAATATGTGAATAACACTATTCTTTTTTTAAAATTGCATTGAATCAAGAAACTTCATGAGATAATGTACATTACCCTCTTAAATTGATAAAGAGAAACTTTGACATGTTGTCTGATCACGACAACTCGCATATCTAAAATCAAAATAAAAATACTTATAACACAAGAGATTTCAGTACTGTTGATCACCTCTACCCAATTTTTTTTTTCAAATAATTTTTTTCTTCAAATGGAGATAACTATGTAGGGATACCCCACAAATTATCATGGTACACAGTATCATGGGGTGCATGTATTTTTTTCTTTTTTTCTTTGAGAGAGATGATTGAGGGTGCTGGGTAATTGCAGGCACTCTCACAAACCAGTATATAGAAGGGTTCTAATGCTTATTCATATCAACTTCCCCCAATTAGGTTGTACATTCACATGAATGCAAAGATTGTTGCAAGAAAAAAGGGAGAGGGTTCACAGAAAGGCTCTGATCCTACAAGTTGGGACAACACAAAGTCCTTCATAACACATGTTACAA